CCCCATCTCCACTCCTAGACAAACCTGCTCCCTGACCACTTCCAAATTCCCATCTGACTTTAGCCTGGAAGGGCCAGAGGGGCACTAATGAGTTTGGAAAACAACTTAGAAAAATGTCTAATCTTTAGCGAAGTTGAATTGAACACTCTTCATCTCTTTTCAAAATTATTCAAGTTCAACAAGAGAGGTCTTCTTAATATATAGCAGAAACTCCATTTTATTGCCAAACTCTAACAAACCCATATCTTTTCCATCCCTCATGGATGTTATCAAAAGGTATATATTTTTAACTAACTAACCAACTAGCTAACAAAACAAACTCTCAACAACAACAGAACAGTCATCTTTTGGTGTCTTGGTATTAACTCAATGAACAAAGAAAATAATTTCCCTAAATTATGAAGCTATGGAGGTTACTGCAAGGACATTTATGCAATTATTCCAATTTCAGCTATTTTACTAGAGCACTTTTTAATGACGTGACTAAAAATAGTACTCTAAACGAGTCTAGCAATACTTCTGTTTGACAGAAAATAAGAACTGTATTATGAAAAATGTTTCATTGTTTTTAGAAGCAAATACCAAAGACTTGGTAAGGAATCATGTAGAAAACAGTAAGCAGAGGAAATCTAAGTCTCCTCTTTTCCTAAGTGACATCTGATCCGTTTTTTTATTTGGTTTTGTTCTGGCATTGCCACTGTTTATTTCACTTTGTTTTTTAAACCCATAGAAGCAGTAGTTCCCATCTTGGGAAGCCATTAGAAAGTCTTCCTTCATGAAGCTGAATGTATGAAGCAAGGAGCCTTTCTATCAGCCCTACAGTCAGCAGATTAGCACTTTCCTGCACCATCTGCTACTTCTCCTTGCCCGGGAGGACTGGATGTTTTCCACAAAGCTGGCCGGGCACACTCCCATAATACCAGACCACTGGGTCGCGGTGCCAAGGGCAGTTGCGTAAAGCCATTCGGCTTCCCACCACCCATTTTCCAAGTAGAAAAGGACAAAATGGACACATCCCACCACCAGCCACCTTGCCAAATGTTCATTGGCTCTGTTGCCACGAGCTCACTGTACAGAACCTGCAGCATCTCTCATGGGAGAATCTGAAAATTAGAAAATATGCAGACTAAAGCCCTGGTTTAAAATAGGACAACAAAACAAACCAGGACACCTCAGCCCTGGGCTAGTCTAAGAAGCTATGGGAGGAAGTGCATTTCATTCAGAAGGGTATAAACAAGAGGGGGGACTCCAAGCCTTCCATGGTCACCCACTCTCGCTTGCTAATATAACATTTTAAAATTTATTTATTGATACTGTAACAAATGCACAGATCCATGCTAAGTGCTTTATGTAAATTGTCACTAATTCTCACACATTATTATCACCATTTTTACAGATAAGAGGACAAATAGTTAAGAAATGTAAATGTTCTGACTAAGGCCTAATAGTTGTAAAGTAAAAAATTTAATGAGGATTTTTCTGGCTCCAAAGTCTGCACTCTTTTGACTATTCCACAAGGCATCCCTGCTAATGTTATAAATCCCTTGGATATAAAATAACTGTGCTATGCAATTCCAGGATGAGTGGACAAAAGTCACTTACACAAAACATTTCAATTATTGAAGGATTTCAGAGAATGCATCTAAGTCTAACACTAAAAAGCCAACTGCCTTCCTATACAGAATCTGTCAACAAACATCAATATAAGTACAGAAATGGCAGCAGGGGAAGTCCCGCCCCCTAGAAACAAATGCTCCAACCGTTTTCTGGGCCAGCTCATCTGTCAGCTGCTCATTGGCCCTGGTTTTATCCTCTACTTCCTGTGACTTCTGGTCATAATTGACAGCCAGCTCCTCCAGGGCCTGGAGAACTTCTTTCACTTCATCTTTGGCTGCCTCGTTTTCAATCTGGAGACGTGTCAGCTCCTCTTGGATCTTCTCATAGTCTCTTCTTGTGGATGCTAAAAGCTGGAGAAATGAGATGGCATGGAACTGATGAATCTAATGTTCAAATGTTTATGTGCTGTACTCTATCCAAAATAATGAAATAAAAATAGATAAAAGAAAACAAGTTGGAAAAGCTCAGGGTGACTAGAAATCCTACTGTATATCCAGATGCTAAGTTAAAAAAAAAAGCATGTTATTTGAAAAATCTGTTCCTTCTTTTTTTTCTCTTTCTTTCTTCATTTTAGTTTCAAGCTACATAGGCTTAACTCAGACAACTGATTACACATCAAAAACACCACACTTTGTAGCTGGTTGGCTATTTCTACATGTTTAATAAAGTGTGGGGGGAATCATTTCCAAGGACAATAATAATACTCACATAGCTTTTTAATATTGTCATTATTTCACATTGTAAACTGGTCAATTTCAGAGTATAAAATGGCAGTCATCAATTTTTCTTAATATTCATCATGGATATATGGAAAGATATATCATAAACACTAATACAGGTTAAAAGTGAATGACTGGGCTTGGGGATGCTTTCATTATCTTCATGCCTATTCTACCTTTCTGATTTTCCTGTAATGAACAGATACTGCCTTGACACTATAGAAAAAGAAAAATATTAAGAGTTTTAATGGTAACAAAAAGGAAAGTTTATCACAGGTAATTGTACCAAGTTGGAAATGCAAAGGAATAGAATGGAAAGAAGAGGGCAGGAAACACAAAGCAAATGGAAGACTCAGCTATAGTTAAAGAAAAATCGATTACATATGGTTCATCTAATTGCTAAGGCATACATGATCTCTCTGACAATGGAAGTATTTGGGCAAAGGGCATAATCGTTGCCCTGGAGAGATGAAGGGGAACAAAGAGGAAAAGGAGGGAAATGTTTATGGAGAGAGGTACGTCTCCGGGAGGGCTAGGACTGGGGACATGCACCCAAGCTCTAACTGTATCACATGATCAAATCATAGCATTTTAGCAACAAAGCATACAGCACCCTAAAGCACAAAAGAGGAAAAAAATACTTAGATGGTCATCAGGAAGAGAATTACGAATCATTTATGTTTGATAGATTGGCTGTTTATCCTTTGCTTAGGTCCCTGTTTATAAAATACTTGGCAACACGCAATATAATAAAGACTGGGGAATATAATAATATAATATAATATAATATAATAAATGTAATAATTTACTGGGGAATTGAATGTCATCAGGGAGACTGAAAACAATTTGTCTCCTTTTTACTGTATCATATATATACTAACATAATATTTGCACCCCTTTCTTCTTTGCTTTCCCTTCCTCTACCTTCTACTTTTTGTTTGTTGGTTTGTTTTTCCTACAAGATAGCACAAGAACTTCGTGTATATCAAAGACATGAGCCAGCTGATTTGCAAAGCTGAAAAGATTAAAATGGCAGGAAACACCTGGGCACTAGTTATGAAGAAAGGCCTTGGTAGTCCTTGCCTGACTACCAAGCTTCTCCAGCTCCGTTCTTCAGAGACTAAGTGTAGCCACCAGCTACTCACTCTCAAAACCCCAGAGCTCTGCAAAGTCAGACATTTATTTTCTAAACTCAGGCAAAAATCAGCTTTTAACAGGCATTGAAATGAAATCTACCAAGAAATTTCCACAATTCAGTGATTTTGAAAAAATTCTTTGCAAATTAAATTTCTGGAACAAACATTATAAATAAAGAATAATAAAAGAACTTTGTAAAAAAAAAATTTTATTGCGAACTTTACCTCATCCTGATCCAACATCTGTTGTTTCAGCTTTTCAGCCAGCTGGCTCTGCTGGTTAATTTCATCATCCTGGAATGAAACATCATGTTTAATTCTTTTTGGTTAGTTATGTCATCGTTGATATCCTGGTTTCCAGACGATAGTCAGATATCAGGATGCCAGCTGTGAGCTTCCTAATAAGACGGAGGGAATGGTGTGATGCTTCCTCACAGAAAGAGAGAGTGATTTTGGGATCCTGATTTGGTTAAAATACCCCTCACCCACCTTTGTCAGCAGATGAAACATCTGGATACTCTGGAAAAGATAATGTCCTACACATTCAACTCCTCCCTGCTATTCCAGAATTCAGAGATGGAGGGCTTGGGAACTAAAGGAACTTTGAAGCTCTCTCTCCCAATTCAAAGACGTTAACATTGAATTCTTAGGTCAGAAAATAAGGCAGTGAGTTTCTAACCATCTGCACTGTAATATATTCACATCCCAAATCTTGTCAAACACATCAGTGACCAGGAATGCTGACACGTGATATGTAAGAGAGACCAGAATTTCTACTTCAAACCTCTCACTTAGAAAGATTGGAAAAACATTTACTAGGGAATTAATCTCTTGTGATTAGACTTCCCTCTCGATGAGAAGTTAGTTTTCTTATGAATCTGAAAAGACCTCAACGAAGCTGGGCTGCAGAAACACGTTAATGCTTACTTTCTAGCCTGCCACTGAAGTGGGAAAAAAAATCTTCCCACAGGCAAATTCGTTCTCTTCACTCTCGTTTCCTGCCACTAGGTGCTGCTGCCACAAAGCCAGAGCCACCTGCCTCTCACTGCCCAC